GAGGGTGGAGACGGCACCATTGAGGGTGGAGAGGGTACCATTGGAGGCGAGGCCATTGAGGGTGGAGACAGTAGCATTGGAGGTGAGACCATTGGTGGGGGAGATGCTGGCGAAGGTGAGTTTGTCGGAGGTGGTGACAGCTCAGTTGGAGGTGGGATCATTGATGGAGACAATGGATATCCGCCATATGTTGGAGATGGCGGCAGTGCCACCGTTGATGGTGGCGACAGTGGCCTCGGAGGCGAATTTGTTGAAAATGGCGGCGGTCTTGGAGGTGAGACGATTGGCGATGGCAGCAGCGGCATTGGAGGAGGGTTCGTGGATGGTCATTTTGTGGATGGTAATTGGGTTAGTGGCAACTCATGGACCAATGGGATGTATGGGCACTACGAGGGCTCAACCTTTGTTCATGCACACTTCCCTCATGATGCTTGGTATGGCGGACACTATGGACATTACACCCCCGCAGGTACTTTCGTTAGCATGACATACCCTCATGATGCTTGGGTGAATGGCCATTACGGTCACTACGACCATTCTGGCTCTTGGATCGAAGTCCATCATGTCGGTGGACATTATCATGTCCATGGACATTACCATCCAGTTGATGCTACTCATTATGCAACTGAGCATGCCGTCGCGGCAGTGCATCCGGAGCACGTCATTGAGAAGAACTTCTACGAAGTACGCACCAAGACCCATGTCATCCACGATCCGGTGACAATCCCAGGAAAGGTCATCCACAAGCAAGTGACACTTCCAGCCAAGGCAGTCTATAACTGCATGGAAGGCTTCCACGACTGGCACCACCTTTGGACCGAGGACCAGCAGAAGTACTGTTGTTACAAGGTTAGCCGTGGATGCACGACGAAGATCGTAAAGTAGCTGATCAGCAAATCAGTTGTACTGAAGAGTAGTGAAGCCACTTTGTATAGGGAAGATGGGCCAGGCCCCAAGAAGGAAGTACCTAATAACTTATACAAATCAAGGAAAAACACCAATTAACAATTCTTCCAGGAAACATCCATTGCTGAGCCAAACATTGTGACAAGGGTCCCTACTCGTTGGCTGTTTGCCTTCCAGGCTTTCTCAAGAGGCATCAGAGCCTCGTGAAACACTGCAGTGTTTCAGGGTTACACGACTATTGCTAGACAAACAGACAACATGTAACATGTTCCACTTTTTTGGTGCTTGACCACGTTTCGTCCTTCATCGAAACAAGACAGACCGGCTGTCAGTTGACCACCTTTCGTAGTGTAGGAATCTGGCAAGTAACATAGAATTGGCTACAACTTTGAGATGCCAGGCACTCCTTCGCAATCGTTGGTTCTTAGCAAAAGCAGGTTCAATTGTTGGCAAGACAAACAAAACTCCAATGACTCATGACTGTTCATGCAGCACGAGCATTGCGAGAAGTGTGACTAATTTTGATCAAGAGCTCCTGCCATTAGACTGAACAGTGGAAGGATTGGCAGAACCGACATTGTTGCCGTGTGTAAGGCGGTGAACTCGCTAAAGCCGCTTTTGCTTACAAATCAGGAGATGGGTATCAACAAGAAAACATGGACAAGCAAAAAAAACGCGCAAGACAGATGACTTGCACGAAAGGTACTGTAGTTCCATTTGGTTTTGGACTTGAATTTGGAACAGCCATGCAACACCCAGGCACTTGCGTTACCACACCGTCGTGCAGAACCACAACATCCCAGTGCCAGTGCCGAAGCCTGTCCCAGTCCATTTGCCACCTCCTCCACCACAGGCCGAGGGAGCTATTTCATACGGCGCACGGCCGCTAATTTTCTCAAGAAAAGCGACCAAAGGATGGGTTCAAACTAGGAACAAGAAGCTACTAGGGGCTCCTGGCCAAACTACTAGGAGCAAGGACGCTACTAGGCGCTCCTGGCATCGCTACCAGGAGCATTCTTACTACTACTAACAAGAAGCTACCAATGTCCTTTCGCTTTGTGGGATTGTTCGTCTCACTGTGTGCCGTGACTCCACTCCACTCGGCCCTGAAACATTTCAGTCGACAGTAGCGTCTCATCTCCATCTCGTTGCAGGTGATCAAGGTGCCAGTGCATTTGCCACCTCCTCCTCGTCAGGTGGTGAAGGTAGGGGGAGAGCATGTGCGACCATACGTCACAAAAGATAAATTCGGTCCTGCGACCATTTTTATCAATTTTCGCCATAGACCCATCGCTCATGGTTGGGAGTCTCTTTGGTGGCTTTTTGTTCGATTTGAAAGCTAGTTTGATTCTCGCAGGTGCCTTACCCAGTGCGAGAGCCAGCTCCCGAGCCAAAGGTCATCACGAAGGCATAATTTAAGATGGGTTGGGTATGTCGAAATTTTGTTTGTTGCCAGGGAATACCCTGGAATTGTCAAGTACTTTGATCTTCAATGTACTTTATTCAAAGGGAACCCCTACTGGAACTCTATGGCAGATTGACTTTTCAGAGTTTAATTTGGATGCCAAATACCAGGCACTCAATATTGCAAGCATGGTTTCAAGCCACCAAATGCACTACTGGCATTTGCCACATAGTCAATTTCGCAATTCTCGTGGAGGTGTCAGCAGCTTTTCACGTTTTATTTTATTTGTTTGGTCGGAGGTGAAGTACTTCAAGAAGCCCGTGCCAGTGCCTGTGGTGGTGCACAAGACTGAGAAGATCCCGGTTCCAGTGAAGAGGCACCATTTTCGAAGCTTCGATGTTTTTGCCGATGTTGCTCTTCACCAGACTTTGCAGGACAAAGTACGTGAAGGTGCCAATCCCGGAGCCAAGCCCCCCCTCACATCGTTTACCACACCAAGAAGGCCAGTTGAAGTGAACATGATAGATGTCAGTTCTAGTCGACTGCCGCGCTGGGGACAACGTGGAGAACTGGCATGAAGAATGTTGCAAGAAAAGAGGTTGGACACATAGCAACAGCTTCGGTTAGGCGAGAAGCATACGTACAAAATCGCATAAGACAGAAACTGCACAAGATCCAATCCTGAGACCGACCATTCTTGGTCTCGACTTTGGAATTTATTGCCCAGCTAGATTGCAGGCTATGCATTTTAAACCATTACTATTAGCAGCAAGAAGCTACTAGGGTGGAGGCCATGGCTACTAGGGTGGAGGCCACCGCTAGTAGGTTGGAGGCCATTACTTGTATAGTAGCTAGAAGCTAATGATTCTAACAGGTCTGGACCCCTTAACTTCAGACAGTCTGTGACCGCCACCTCTTTTCTTGCCCAGATCGTGTCCCATGCCTACGATTGCGATGAGGGAGTGCACACCTGGCACGACTCTCCGGCATGTCGGATTATCATAGCATGTTGTTTTTTCTGCGTGAAGGTTAAGACTTTGTGCTGCTGCTGCTGCTGCTGCTGCTGCTGCTGCTGGTGGTGGTGGTGGTGGTGGTGGTGGTGGTGGTGGTGGTGGTGGTGGTGTTGCTAATGTTGTTTTCGCTGTCAGAGTTGTGGGATGTCCGGGACTCGGGATGTTGGTCTTTCCTGTCTTGAATTTGGCCAAGTTCTTTCCAGTCGTGGCCAAGGATTGGCATGTTTGCTAGTAGGAACAAGTGCATCGCTACTAGTAACAAGTGCCTTACTAGTACTAACAAGCCGTTCAAGTGTTTCCACATTCTTCAGCGACGGCCAGGACACTTGGTCCCACTCCAAGCGTCTCTATTGCTGCTGGAGGAGGAGCATCGGATGCCCACACTCGCACACAGACGCTTGGTAGAGAATTATGTTCAGCATTTTCGGCATTCTTTGCTGCTGACTGTTCACAGGGACATTCGCATTCTATCGTGAGGATGAATAGACTTTGAACGTTCCAAAGACAGGAGTGATTAGACCTGATACATCCTGATACTGTCGATACCCTTTGAGCATTCCTCAAAGGCCGTGCTGTTGTGGGGCGGTCTTTTTCCATTCAGCCCGTTTTCTGGTCCAGATCTACCACACGCACACAGTCTACCACACGAAAGTCGTGCCAAAGAAGGCCGACCGTGCGAAGGTCGTGTTGCCCTACAGTTCTGAGGTCTGTTTTGATCTTGTACACGTCTTGCGGCAGTTAGGGATCCTGGACTTTGCTTGTTCAAAACACTGGAAGCTTTTACGCAATAGAGAGGTGTGAGATCAAAGGGGGAATTGTGGCAAGGTATTGTAGGAAGGTGCAAGGAATCCCAAAGCACTCACGAAGCATTTTTGAGCTTCGAGGAGTTCGGCACATGATGGTTGGGCATTTTATACGTCATTCCTTCCCAGCCTTTCTCCTTTTTGAGTGGAAGAACAGTGAACATAGTGAACAGAAGCTTCGAGGAATGGGGCCTCAAGTGCAAGAATCAGCCAAGACATGACGGGCAGGTGGTGATGCCACCCAAGATCATCTACAAGGATGTCACGGTGCATCATACCATTGACATTGACTGCAACAGTGGCCCTTCGGCCGCAGAGCACCCAGGTGACGGTGCGCCTTCGTGGGGCCGAACCGAATCCAAGCAAGTTCGACCACAGATCAAGCTGCAAGCAGCTTGAAAAATGCCATGAGCTAGGAGTATTAGTGGACAACATAAACATACAGAAGCGAATTTGCCTGGGTTGAGGATACTCCAACTGGTACTACGGCTGGTCCAACTACAAGAAGCATTACTGCTGCTCTCATGCCTCTCGGCCAATGCTGTCAGCAGGGCAGACGAAACACTTAAGACTTAAAATACTTGCGCTCAAGCACGACGCACGCGGCTTGACGGTTCGTCATGTTTTTTTCCGACCAATGCATGAAGGGCAGAGGGGGTACAAATTCCTTGCATAGAATGTGTTTCCTTGCGTCGTCTCCAGAGTCAATGACACAGAGTGCCAGTGCATGTGAGTTCGCTCTCCCATCTGCCCAACGTGGTCGAACTCTGCTCGTTTGTGCAGTCAGATGTCAGGAGAAGAGAGGATGCCCTGGAACTTGGAAGGGCTTTGCACACGGACACATTCACGTCACAGTGCAGAAGGGCGTTGGTGGCTTGCTGAAAGGTCCGAAATGGGGTCATTCCGAAGTATAGTTTTCTCCTGGTGCAAGAAAAGCAGCCAAGCAGTTTGAGTAAACTGATCAGCTGATCAGGATTTGAATTTCGCCACTGGCGGTCTGAAAGCTTCATGCGGCATGCGCTTTTACAAATGAAGAAAGGGACTCCAGTACCACGATGTGTTTCAATATGGAGCTAATTGGGTCAAATCCAGTCAGCACAATCAATAACTTGGTTTGGAGAATTGTTGAACTCTGCAGTGATTGACCTACCCGGTTCATTCCGGTTCCAAATTCATCGCAGAGAGATGCTAAAAGAAAGGCACCCGATCACACTCCTTGAAGTACATATGGCCAGCCTGGCTGTCGCCTGATAAAAAGCTGTTGGAACAGAAGGGCTGCTGTTTCGTCACCCAACAACAACACCCACATGTGACCTGAAAAACTTCACCTTTTGATGATGCCTACATGGAGTTTTAAGGCACTGCAACTGGCAAGATCTACGACTGCCAGGCGCAGCTGCACTGCAGCTTGAGCTTTCCTTTGGAATAAGCAGCACTCGCGGTAGTTCTGATCATTCTAGAACAGACAGTGTTAGACAGTTAGACACTTTCTCACTTTGCAGGCTGGCTTCAACAACTGGTTGCATGGATGGTCAGACTCCAAGAAGAAGTGGTGCTGCGGCAAGGCAGATTCTTTCTGCGCCCAAGACGTGTGGTGGATAGACTGACGCCACAAGTTTGACCATGCAAGTTTCGTTCTTTCAGACAAGAACTGAAGATATTAAGGCTGCAAGGACTCTACTAGGGGCTCCTGGCGTTACGAACGGAGCATCCAGGACGCTCATTAAGGCTGCAAGTGTATCTCCCGCCAGGAGCAGAAGGGCTGTGTGAAGTTCCACTGTGACCACGATGCGGTGAGCACTTGGTGCGGGGCCCACGGATCGATGGGCGGACCGAGCCGGTCTCGGACGGGTTCCGCTTGGTCGGAGCGGCATGCCCACGAGGTAGCTAGTGTTAGCATGCGTTAGCAGCTAGCATGCGTTAGCTAACTGAGGTTGTTCTTGAGAAAGCTAGGACAAGCCTGAGGCCAACCACAGTGATACTAAAATCATCTATAACCTCCTCCCTCCCCTTTTGACCATTCGAGTGGAGATGGCCGTTCTGGTTAAGCAACATTGATGCTCAGTGGTGGAAGGTCACCTTTGGGTGTAGTCACATTGATCAGACAACGTTAAACTGGCTGTCCAGGATTACATAATGCACTCTTGCCACCGATTGCCCTATCTTTCGTTTACCCTCGCTGGCCTCAAGTTTATTGAGCACTTGTTGATGGGCGTGTTTCCAACCAACTTACCAACTCCTGACTATCTGTCTCCTAGTAACAAGTGCCACGCTAGTAGTAACAGGTGCCTTACTAGTAGTAACAAGAAGCTATTAATTAGAATTCTAATTAAATTCTTATTGTTACTAGTAGCTATCTATCTCCTTATTTTTTTTTTCATACCATACCATCGATCTGTCTTCAATCGGTCGAGAATCCGCCCGATTATTTGCACCACTTTCAGGGGGGGCCGAGAAGCGAGATTGGTGCTGCGGCAACTTCCAGAAAGGCTGTGCGGCCACCACCCTTTCTCCTTTGGGCTGCGACACTCCTTGCCACCATGCGGGCGAATCCTCTACATGCAAGGATCGGGTGACGGATGCGAGACTTAAAGGTTCCCAGAAGACCATGGTTTGCTCAGATTCTTCCACAAGCACTTCACTAGTCACTAGTAGTATCTATGGTACTGTAATCACATGTAATCACTAAATGTTCAGGCGCAACATGGCAGAACTTGTTCAAATCGTATGGGACATGGCACTGGACTTTCAACACTTGTCCCCAAAGTTTGACCACGTTAGTAGAGTGTCCTCCGATGTCCTTTGCCTATTGGCCGGGCGCAGGAGCGTATTGAGTGGGCAAGCCACCATGTCTTTTCAGGCAAGGGCAACGCGTGTGAGTTGGCCTACAGCCAGATTCAGGTGCGGAAGACTGCGCTTGCCTTTGAAAATGAAAATCTGTTTCAGGATGTTTGGTAATTTTATTATGTTACATCGGGTGACTGTGCATGAGTGTGCACTTAGTTTGAGCAGCTGTGTTATATTCCGCAACCTAGCATCTTTGTTCTGCAGTAAACGTTTTCATGTTTGCTTGCTTGTCTCAACGTAGGGTGCTTAGTAGAACAAATGCAATGAAGAAAACATTGATTTGCAAACCGAGAAGACAAGAGAAGGCAAAGCCACTTGAACGGGAACATCGGGGGAGACTGGCCAATGCCAATGCAAGTATTTCAATGCCCATGTCTGCCGCAGGTGGAGTGCGATGTGTGCCGTTCCTGTACCGTCCAGGCGGCCGGATGCGAGGTGCATGCTGTGGCAAAGGATCCCTATGACTGTCACTTCGGGGAATTAGTTGGTGAAGTATCTTGTACAAATACAGAATTATAAGTCATAAGTATTTTATGTATCATTTTCCGAGTAGATTCTTAGATTGCGGCAATTGAATTGGGTTTGCATTTTGTGCGAATCTTGGAAATCATGATCCAATTTAGCTATCCTGGTAAGGTGATGCTGCCCTGAACAACTTCTTCCGAGCTTGGTCTCCTCCGAAGAAGCAGTGGTGCTGTAACAACCGTGGAAAGGGCTGCGAAGGCAACAGCCCTCCCAAGGTGGATCCTGGCGCTGGAATGATGTGGAAGCATGTGCAAATCAACGGCTTCTGGACATGGCAGGTCGTTGCTGCTGCCGGCGGAGGAGTTGCAGCACCGCCTGCAAGCCTTCCATACGACTGCAATGTGGGTGTGGTGAATTGGAAGATTGGTTGGTCAGCTCCCAAGAAGACCTGGTGCTGCGCGCACAACAAGGTTGGTTGCCCAGGAAGTGCTGGCGGTGTGGCTAGCCAAGCTACCCACGTCACAGTCCACTACACACATGGTGGTGTCGCGGCCGGCGGAGCGGCCGGCGCGGCCGCTGCAGGTGGCGCCTTCCACGCCGCTGGTGGCGCCTTCCACGCTGCTGGTGGCTCATTCCATGCGGCTGGTGGCGCAGTCCACCACTCCAGCAGCTACCACGTCCACCACGTTGTTGTCCACCATGATGTTATCCACCACAGTCGTCGGCTGGAAGACGGAGGCCGGGCTAAAGCATGCAAACAACGGAATGAAGGAATAAAGATGAATAAAGAGAACATCTAAACAAAATAACTACTATGCCAAATTCCGTTTTATCCTTTGTAGTCTTGAAGCTGGATAGGCTTTGATTGTGCCGCCGGCCGAGCGAGCAGAAACTCATGGCCACAGGACTGGGGGGGAACCGAGCTCGAGTCCAAGATGGTTGACTGAAGTTCACAGAAAGTGTAAAACAAATTGTGAGAAGATGTTCCATGTTGGTGCTGTCGTGTCCAGGAGAAGAAGGACTACTGCTGCAAGCAGGACTCCGTCCTTTGTGAAGAGTAGGCAGGTTGCCTGACCTGACGCGTTTGTCGTCCCCAAGTCTTTATACTTTGTTTTGTAACATCATTGGTCCTTTAAGTCTCTACGTTTATTTACTCCAAACTGGTGTGGTCCCCATCCATCGTCCGAGTCCATGAAGTCCGGAAGTCTTCGATGAAGAACCCGGCAGTGGAAGTCCATGCCGACGTTTTAGACCTCCCAGTGCAGTGATGTGCAGTATATTGTGTGGTACTCGTAGGCAAGCTGGTCGCAGGCTCTTGCTGCATTCGGGCTCTTACCAAAGCTTCGAGTTTGAGTCACTCGTCTTTAGGCGGCCTAAGAGCGATGATCGCTCTTAGGTTGGAGGCCATCGCTCTTAGGGTGGAGGGCATGGCTCTTAGGTTGGAGGCCACTGCTATTAGGTTCCTTTTGCTATTAGGGCGGAGGCCATCGCAAGTAGGAAACTTTTTTTGAGCTTCGAGTTTGACTCACTCGTCTTTAGGTGGCCGATGATTTGTTTGCCGACACGTGAACGATCGAAACCGAGGTCCTTAGCGAACTGGTGCTGACATTTTTTCAGGTGCGCCCTCAGCTCTCAGAGCGAGTGAACACAGCAAGTGCGTTGTGAAGATCAGGCGATAAAGTAGGAACTTGCGAGATTAGGAGCATGACAAGCTATTTGTAGATCTGCAGTGGGTTCAAGTTCTGCCTTGTCTCAAGTCTCAGGTGTGGTTGGTTAAATTGTGTTGGCAGATTGACAGATGAACTAACCGTTGGCCATTTACTCAGGTGCACATGGATGCAGCACCCGAATGAATCTTGTGAAAATCCATGTGCGATTATTGGCCAAGGACAACAAGCGTTGTAGCTGGAACTGACGCGTTTCAGTTTGAGTCCACTGACGTCCACGAACGATTTGTGTTTCTCCAGAGGTGTTTCGGTCCTTCGCCGGAACGACACGAAAACAGTCCCTTTCGAGCTGAGACGTGGGATCACGCAGACAGTGACAACTGTGCCGCATTGATTCTCCTACATGTGACATGTGACATGCTTCACATATCCAGATGCCAGATGCAGTTTTGTTTTGGAATGCCGTGATATGCCGTGATGCCCCTTTATTTGCACTTCTTTTCAGCAAAACCTCAGTCGCGCTGAATGCATGCAAGAGCAAAGTCTACATGTCTTCGGTGCACGCTCCACACTTTGGCTTGGAGCTTTGCAGGCGATGCTGTTTGTGGTGTTTGTCGGCAATTCCATTGCTTTTCCAGCACTAACCAACTCGAAATCCTTCCTAAGATATCCCAAGACCTAAGAACAGCAGAAACCAAGTCCATTTGAACCTGAGCTCCTTTCGCCTGACGACTGAGCTTGCTACCTTTTAGCCCGGTGGATCAGAGGATAATGTCCCATGGTCCAGAGTTTCCGAAACAGATGCACAGAGCCGATTGTGCCATGAATATGCTCTTATCGCTGATAACGATAAACTACATATACTGAAACACACACACACATACATGTCCAGAGTCCAAAGATGGTATTCACAAATCTGACAGGGAAACATACATCCTTGCCAAAAATATGATGTTTGAGTGGACACTTGAGCGGAAACTCTCTCTCTAGTATGGGTTTGCTGCTGAACAAAAAAGCCCGCAAGTCATCTCTCAGCCAATCTGAGCTTTTCTTGTGAATGGGTGGTCCTCAACTAGGTGAAGTTGAGTTTTGAAGGCCTCATTTTCATCATCCAATGTCTCTCATGTTCTGCTGAGGCAGGCACATCGCACTTGATTTCTCGAGATTGTCACGAATTTTCATGTTCCTGTCGCATTCTCTAGGTCAAGGCTTCTCCAGTTCAGAGTGGGGTCGCTGCCATGGCTCGCTTTTCTTCCCGTGCACGTGGGCGCATGGGCACCGTGGCCCTGGCCGCCGCGGCGTGGTGTGGCACTTGGTGCTTCGTCTCGGCGCCGGAGAAGGCACCGCATGCGTCCCTGCGCCCCGAGATCGCCGCCGCAACGGCGGCGGCGGCCTTGATGCCCAGTGAGGCCTGGGCAAAGGGTGGTCAGTGGGGGCCACTCGAAGGTAAAGCTTCCAGCTGCTTGGCATTTGCACAGCAAAGACGATGATATATCTTAAAGTTCCACTCAGAGTGACACTGCCTCAGTTTCAGTTGGATTGAGAATGATTATGCTTGATGTTTTTGTAATGTACTTGTAGAATAATGCAGAGTCAGAGCAATAATGCGTAATATATCTATATCTATATATATATATATGTATATATATATATATATTGGAATTTGATATCTCAACACCGACATCTCAACACCAGGCTTCCAAGTTTTGCTTGGCCACTCAAATGTAACTAACATCAGGTTTGATCCATCCGATCATCATGCCCTGCATTTTCTTCGCCACCTTGTACACTGGCTTTTTGGGTTGGCAGTGGCGCCAAACCCGCACCTTGGGCGCGGATCTCTCGGCTTTGCGGAAAAAGCTGCCCAAGGCGCGCTGACCGGCGGGTGGCACCGGGTGGGGCATTTCTTCCAGCACATCATTTCGCATAGATGTACACAGGTCATATGCATCATTTGCAGGATAAATCGTATTTGGACCAGGATCGTTTGATCAGAGGATGACCATAGTGATGACCAACACGGTCAGGCGACGTAAATCTGCAGCGAAGACGGTATCCATGTCCGCTGTCTTCGGCCACGGGGGCCACAGGGTCCAAAACCCTCGGACTGGAATTGGCCACGTTTTCTCGGACTGGATGGGAGAGGCTTTGGCAGTGGCCACATTGACATGGCCACATAGCTTTGATAGCTGGTAGCATGTCATGCACACACAGATACTGCTGTGTTTACATGTGTGCAATGCACTATGCAATGCAGCGTCACCTGCATGCACGCTGATCGCTTTGCATAGCCTCAGTGTGGTATCACTGTACAACTATAACATACTACAACTATTTACCTTGCAGCTGCTAAGATACGTGCATGTGCACACAGGAAATCCATGTGTGCACGTAGGTACTCAAGATCTATAAATCATCGTCAAAGATCGTCTCCAGGCTTCAAAACCCGAAAACTCGTTAGTTCTACTGCAGACTGCACCGCTTGATCACCAGTCTAGAGTCATTTTCAGGATGAAGACCCGGAGAAGGAGTCCAGTGCAACAAAGTCCTTGAAGGAGGAAATTAGCCGATTGGACGCGGAGAGGAAAGAAATGGTGCAAGCAGGCAGCTTCGCCAGGGTATGCCAGGGTGAAACCGGATGGTTTGTTTGGCACAGGTGCACAATCGCAAGTCCAGAAGATGACAGCTCTCTTCTCTTTGTATTTTTTGGAGGAGTTGGGCCAGGTTGAAGGCTGATACCCAAGCTAAGTAAAGTTATGTATAAGGTTATATATATAATATATATATATATATTATATGTCATAAGAGAAGCTACTACATGCAAGGATGCAGAAGAACCCTCGCGTATGAAACTGTTCTTAGATCTTGTGGGAACAGTGGCCTTGGCTAGTTGAACTTGATCAAGGCTCCATCAAGGCTCCTCGGCTCTGAGTTTGCAGGCTACAAGGACAAGCACCACACCCTTAGCTCCTTTATCCTTGGCGGTGACTTGGCTTTCATCGTTCAATTGCTTACTGATTGCAGAACATGACATGTTGAGACTCGGAAGCTTCTCGATTTGACCAAGCTTGACTGCTCATTTGTTTGTGCGGGGACAGGATAGTTGATGTGCTTTGAATATCACAGAATTATTGTAAGCCGCATATACCGATGTGAATTGTTTGTTCCCAAAGACAGCATCTACCGTCATGGTTTGGTTTCCAGTCATGTTAAGGACTGACTAAGTGCACTGTTTTTACACAATGGTCTGACACCAACATCATGTCCAACATGTGCTATGTCCAACATCTGTTGAATCTGTTGAGCCTGCGCAGCAGGCGGGATCTTTTTCACGTGCTATGGAACCTTCAACACTTGGCTCCTTGGATCCAATTTCGCCTAATTGGCCATCAGCTTCGCATGCATCGCATGTGTCGCCGTTGGCGCCGAGACCGGCGGTCGGTCCGTCGCACAGGTTTCGCGCCGAGAAGCTCTTCCCCGGGCCCCACTTGTTCGCCGGCGCGGCCATCGTGGTGCTGTGGGCGATCTCTGCGGCCTTGGTGCCCTTCATGGAGAAAGGCAGGAGAAAGGAACGGAGAACGAAAAGAGGATGGAGAGTTTCTGGAATTGTCCACTTTGGCAGTGGCATATGAGATTATCCTGGTTGGATCTGTCGCCTAAAAGATCCTGTTCAACTGGGGTTGACCTGAGGTGCGTAGAGTGTAATTAGAATTCTTCCATGGTAAAATGACAAAAGACACAACACGCTTAGATTGTTTAGATACTGCACAAATGATCACAAATGGCTACTTCATACTACTTCCACAGACATCCGATTGGTTGACAGTTGTTAGTTCGTTGACACTTTTAGTTCTCAAACGTTACTGTAGTCTTTTGGTGCAGCTTGGAGGAAATGACGGGGCACGCAATGCTCACATTGCACTGAACGGTGTCAACGTTCTACTCTTTGCCTGGCAGCTACCAACCGGCTTTGAAATTGCACAGAAGGTGTGGGGACTTGACATTGCGTGGTTCTGAGCATGACTTGCTTTGTGCCACTTCCATCATTTAGACTATGTTCAATTCAAGCCTTTGATGGCTCCGTCCTGCATTTTCTTTGGTCCTGGTGCATGCTACTTTCAGCATCACAATCGGACAATTTTCGGTGAGGTGGCTTTCCTCCCAGGCAGACTAGGCGATTGAACCGACAGCTTCTTTATCAAGAGTCAAGAAATGTTGATGCCCTGTGCAACATGAAACACGAAGCAAGCCACCGCCCTGCGCATGCTTCGCTGAAGTGTCAAAGCGAAACCCAGGAAAGATGTCCGAGCGTTCAAAAGTTGTGTGATGACGGACACCGGACACCGTTCCACTTCCAGCCTCACAATTCCCGTCAAGTCTTGCCAGTAGGAGGCCATCGCTACTACATTCCCTTTGTCAAGTCTTGCAAGGCAATTAATTTATCATAGTCCTAGTGGTCCTAGTGCATCAATGTGTGTAATTAGCACTTCTTGAGGCATGTGTCGTCTTCGGCTCGAGCCAACCACTGCAAATAATGAAAACTGACACCTAGTTTGGACTCATTCTTAGATTACTGCCATATTGTGTCAGACCATCAGACTCTGAAGCGTCGGAACGTGATGCAAAGGATAGATTGTTTGCTTTGAATCCGCTACCAATGACTGTTGAGCACAACAAGTGCAACATGGAAGCTAAATCTCCTAGGGGCCAAAGGGGCGTTATTTGTTTTGCGCACATCAAAACACAAGCAACGAGCTTGGCATCCTGGAATGGAATGCCCACATTCGATCTCAAGGAACAGCTGTTGCATGTGCTGAGTCCTAACAGGTGCATCGCTATTAGTAACAAGACTTAACAAGTGCATCGCTACTATATAGTAGCAAGGACTCTACTAGTAGCTCCTGGCATTACTACTAGCAACAAGAAGCTACTAGGGGCTCCTGGCCTTACTAGTAGGAGCAAGGACGCTACTAGGGGCTCCTGGCATCGCTACTAGGAGCATTCTTACTACTAGTAACAAGAAGCTACGAACGTAACACGAGGACATGACCTGACGCCATGAGTGGCAGTTCCCCGTCGCCTGTGCCACACACCGCCCGGGGCCCACGCGAGTGGCCATCCACCCGCGCTCAGGGCAGTGTGGTACAGTCGCCACGGCTCACGACACAGCCTGCAGCCTAGATGAGGGTGGTGGGTGGTGATGGGTGGTCTTTTGACTCGAACGAGGATCATTGTTGCCGTTGTTTTTTGCCTCATTGTGCTCACACAAAGCAGTCAGTATACTATCTACATTCTCTCCCTCTCCCTCCCTCCCTCCCTCGCTCTCTCTCTCTCTCTCTCTTCTCCCTCTCTCTCTCTCTCTATGAATACATTGATTGAGCCCTGAGGCAAGTGATCTTCTGGCAAGTGTCAGGGGTGTCGCGACCGTTCCCTCAGAGCACCCCACCACCAAGTGGAGGCGTGGAGGATGAAATCGAATCACGAAGAGCGAAAAGCGGAGCTACTCAGAGCTACTTGAGCCATTTTGAGCCTTGAGCCATCGTCGTTTTGGGTTCAATTGTTGATTTATAAGGCTTTCGGCTAGTCACAAAGAAAGAATTGGGACATGTTCAATGCAAGTTGTATCTAGTATTGTATTGATCATGAGTAGCCTGGAGTGCTTCAAGTCTTGCACTAGGAATGTTTCGCAAAAGTCCAGCAATGGTTTTAGAACATGTGCATTCAGCAGACGACACAAAAATAGACCATTGCACAGGATTCATGTACAGTACGTACATGTTGATACATGTATATATATAATATACATGTAATCTAAAATTGGTTGGACTCTCCCATTAGCCTAGAAGCAGAAGGTGTTTGTTTGGATGGAATGGTTCAAGAGAGCTCTTTTCACTTAGTCTTTTTGTCCTTCCGATTTTATGAGATTCTAAAGACAAGGGATCAACCACTACTGTATCAGATTGTCTATAAAAAGCATCGAAGACAGTTTTCACACAAATGTATCAAAAGGAAAGGACTCCACACAGCACTCCGACTTGACTTCCAATTGCGAGCTCTTGGACTGTGGTTTCCAATCGGCTTGCTTTTGCGAAGGACCATGTCAAGTATCGGGTTTGCGATCGATTTGTGGAGTTGATAGACCAATCCAGGATACCAGGATATACCATACCTGCTACACAACGCATTGACATGACTTTTCAGGAAGTAGTAGCCATTGTGAGATGTCACCGGAACAGTGTTTCTGTTTCCATTATTTTCCGTGCCTTTTGGCACAACTGTCAAGCAGATAGTTGCAAAATGTTGTACATGCAAAGTGGCAGGCGAAACGTTGCGCTACTTGGGTACGGGCTATCCTCCCAGACAGGTGCTGACGTCACGCAAAGGCAGGATGGTACTTAATTCTTGTCAATTGTTTGAATTTGGAGGCGCTTTGCAGGCTGCATAGAATGTAGCATGTTTACCCGGTATACCCCAAACACGTTGGAGGTGCCGTCAATGGAGAGTTGCTGAGCTATGTTCCAGAGGCTTGGACTTGGACATATTGGGTCCTGTCGACAAATGTTGGAGAAGGCATTGCCCTTTGCCAACTGTGCGTCAATGTGCGTCATATTAAATCCTGAGCGATGGCCTCCAACCCTAATAGCAATGGCCTCCAACCAAATAGCGATGGCCTCCAACCTAATAGCGGGTCAACGAATGTGTGTTATGTATTCACAGCGATGGAGAACGCAGACACGGTGGGAGTGACACCCAACGTCGACCCTGCAAACCACAAGGCGACCCATTTGATCCTGCTCTACCTCCAGCATGTGGAGCTACTCCAATGGTATGTTCAATGTGTCTCCTCTTTTTAAGAGTTGCTGTCGACATGTGGCTGGATATTGAAAAAAGGGTGACCCACCTGGTAGACGTCTCCCCCATTTCAATATGCACCCATTGAAATGGCTAGCACTTGGTTGCGGTCTATAGCCGCAGTTTGATTCTCCCCTACAGACAGACTCTGGAGACCGCTTGGACCGTTCCAGGCGCGTTGGAGACCGCTCCCTGCCAAGGCGATCGAAATGTGTTCGCCGAAATTGGCACATGCAATGGGCGAAGATCGCGATCGAAGACTGCGCATTTGGGAATCGAAGCAGTCTAGGAACTTGACACAAGCTTGGAACTTGGAAGGTTCCGCGCACGTTTTGAAGGAGGACAAAAACACTTGGAAGGTTCCTTATTGGAGCTGTTCTGTGACGATTGCTAGGTGTTCAGTGTGCCAAAGGTGATTTCAAGCTCAGTGTCAGCCTCAGCTCCAAAATGAGAGGTTGAAGATGGTTGAAGACTACAGGAGCATGTGAAATATGATGAAACATGTCACAACGATACGTAGCTGATGACGTAGCACAGACAGGTTTGGGTTGAGAGGGCAATGAGATTGCAATACATCTATAGGCTTAGCAAGAACACAAATACAAGTCCAGTCGTCCAACCACTCGGATTTTTTAGATGCTCACATGCTCCGAAAGCAAAGCCTTTCTCTGAACTGCAATGGCGACAAAGACAGCGCGTCCTGCAAACTATTTCTGAAACCTTCCAAGCGCATTGCCCGTCAGTATCAGAAGCTGAAGCTCTTTTACATGGAATAGTTCGAAGCTCTTTTACATGTGCGAAGAGAAGACGGAAGATGACCCAGCAGCGCACCCCTCAGCCTGGTGATCAAGAACTTGATGCCTCTGATTCGTCTTCTTCCTCATCTTCTGCCGACTCGTCTGACAGTTCTTGAGCATAACTTCTGCTTGGAAAACAATTTGCGCGTAAGCTGCCGCTGTGGTGTGGTTAAAGTTTATGTTTCGCGTAAGAGCGCGTAAGCTTCATTCAAATAAGTCCCTTTCCCACGCGTAAGATAAAACCTGGGGCGCGTAAGCATTGCGTAAGTGCATGCGTAAGCAAATCCTTACGACATAGGCCAATTACACGACCTTTTGACCGCCGCTCATGTGAGGACAGACAACAGAATAGAGACCCAGGGAGACACTGCAAGCTTGAAGCGCGGTGCCAGGATCCGAAGCGTGGCAGTGCGATCCTACGCAGCTTCAGTGGATCGGTCGTGAGGGAGGCGAGGTCGCAAAAGACATCAAAAGACGAGACGTCACAGACGAGAGCCATTGGGAGCCTAGGCCTAGATCTCAATTTTTCTAGTCAGGTGAAGAAGGAACATGGAGGTATATAATAACAAAATATAACAAAGCATGGAAAGCCAAACACGTTGAGTCGAGGTCATTACAATCCGTCCCGTGCATATCATTGCATTTCCGTGCATTCTGAAGCAGGCAGACGTGCGTAGACGGGAGCCTGAAAATGCAAAAGCAGGCAGCGGTTGGGTGCAGGGTCTACCGTGAGTGGATGTCGTGTTCGGATGTTCATGTTAGTCGCCGTCGGCGTTTGACAGTCGCCGTCGCCGTGGTTTGCGCCTCTTTTTTACGCAGCTTGGCGTTCCAGGCGCAACAGCCTCAAAGGAGGGACCAGCCGCTAGCACTGCTAGCACCCCAGCTGCATCAACCGAAACACCACCAGTACTGGCCAAAGCTCCAGCATCAGCACCAGTGGTGCAGGCAACCCCACCGGCGCCAGCATTGCAAACAACCCCGGCCATGCAAGGAGCACCGGTACCTACGGTGCGAGCGTCAACGCCAGCATTGCATGTTCAAGAGTCAGCAACAGTGCAGTGCCAGCCCCAGCCTGCAACGACTCTTGTGGAGTCAGGCATTGCCCCAGTGGCAGAGCCTGTGGAGATGGTCAAATCGGCCAAAGTGCCAGCTACCATCGTGGCATCAGAGTCGGCTATATCGCCTCCGCCTCAGCCAAAAGCAAGGTTTCAGGAGGCCGGGACACCAAAAACATCCAGCAAAACGTAGCAAAACAGCAAAACCATCCAGAGAGATGTCAGATATTGGGACATTTGAAACTGTATAGATATTTTTGGCACACAGTCCATGTTTAGAAAGCCGTGGGTTGTGTTCCATCGCTCAAGTGTTTGTCTCAGACGTGCTGCAAGCCGTTCAGGAGAGCTTCCCAATACGTTGGCCAGCAGGCTTGGTATGGCTTGAATGGTAAATCGAAGTTGCCAAACTGTTCGAAGGCAGAGGCAGAGAGAGAGAGAGTCTTGGAGCTAAACACAACGTAAGAGAAGCACTTTGTCGTGTTGAGTGCTTGAGACCTTTCGACGGCGCTTGCCTCTCATGAAAAGCACACAAAACGTGTGAAAGACCTGAAGGGACTTCAGGGATTTCGACACCCACTTTGTCAAGACCTTCACTGGCTTGGCGACTTGGATGGCCAAGTTCCCTGCGGAATCCCCACGTGACACGGCCACGGCTATGCTTCGCACGCCTTCTCACAGCGATAGCAGCTATAACATGCTATAACACTCCACAGTATGCGAGTGTATGCAATCCAGTCATGATCATGCTTTGGGTCGACGGTTAACACGTGGTAAAACTTGGCTTCGTGAATAGATCCTTCGTGGGATTCCTTGGTGTTATCTCTGACGTGTGATGCGTGTTGCATTGCGAAGGACTTCGCCCAGTGCGCAAGTCAGTCCAGTTCCTTTGGCACCTTCTCCGACTACGCAGCAGCGTGGTGCTCGGGCTGAGGGAAGCCCTTCTGCAAGCAGAAGATCAGAGCCACGTCTCACAGGCGTGAAGCTCGAGAGTGGCAGCTACAGCACAGGGACTCCGCTCACAACCCCACGGGAGATGCTGGGCATGGGGACCTATACACCGCCACACTTCGAGATGTTCAGCTCGAGCTCGCGTGAAATGAGACCATCATCACCAACTGGAAGGCTTGGAGTGACAGTCAGGACAGGAGGGGCTGAAGAAGTTCTAAGATGTTCTAAGGGGATGTTGGAATTCAATCGTGCGCTGGTACCAGAGGCCATTCTAGCTCTGCATGGAACATACAATATGGAGTTTATCCATGTATGTTACTAGCAGCTGTGTGCCCTTTGTCAGCAAATCTCCCTGACAGGAACATCTCTCCCCAAACTCGGGGTGTTGGTGGTGGCCTCCTGATTTCGCCATCTCCTTTGTCCTTCTCAAACAGACAGCCACCTGTGCCAAGGACAATCCGTCCAAACCAACCCACCACGGTGACTCGAGGTCGCACTTTTCACAGATTCCTTCGACATGTTTGCGGTGCTTCTGTATTATGCCATGTCAGTGCAAACATTTGGGACCTATAATGGACAGAACAGATAGACAAAACATGACAGAAACAATGTGGAATGTGAATCGAATAGAACATCATGAAGTAGACATCCTAGAGCCTTCATGAGCAAGCCTCTTCAGTCTACAGCGGTCTTGATCATATCAGGAGATCCGGCTCGCCTTTGAGCCTTACCAAGGCCGAACACATGGGGGGGGTAGAGGACTCTACTAGGAGCAAAGGGCATCGCTAACTAGGGGCTCCTGGCCTTACTACTAGGAGCAAAGGACGCTACTAGGAGCTTTCAGATGTGTCTTTCCTGATTTGTCTCCGGCAAAACATGCGGCCACCGAACTTTGTTGCAGATGGAGCCGCGCGCCCTCTAGAATTGCTATCGAAGGTATAGCAATACATATCGATACAGTTCAAACGAGGCAACCTGCAACCAGCCGGAGCTCATTGTTCCTTTGGTCTTTGGTTAATTTGTTGTCTGCTTGAGTGACTTTTCTTAGCTGTTCTAAGAGGCTGACCCTGGCAGCAAGCCCTTGGCTTCACCCATGACCCGGCAGCGGACCTTGCCCAGTTTGCCGCCTGAAAGGAGCGGATGGGACAGAGGGACGGTACCTTTCAAGCTTGGCTTCGATGCAGCAAGAAGTGGGTGAACCCCCAAGGATCCCAGAACATATACCCACGAGCCACTCTGAAGGATTCTGATGTCAAGAGGAATCCAATGTGATCCGCAGATCGGCAGGTCCAGCACCACCGTCCTTACTGCAAGGGGCCTGGAGGCTGCGGGTCCTTCAATATTTGGTAGTTCTTCACTGGCATTTGCGGCACCTGCATCAGTCCTGTCCTCACTGAAACTTGTCAAGGTAGATAGATTGATAGATGGAGAATCAAATAGATAGATAGATAGATAGATACCGGCTCCTTTGAACTCGAGAAGCACCTGGGACAATCGGATCCTGACAGACGTTGTTGCCAAGATAGATTTAGCCAGTTGTCGGTGACACAAGCCGTGCTAATCCCAAAGAGGCAAGCATGTTAGTTTTTTGATGTTTTTTGATTCGGGTGGATGCACATCCTTCCAGGCTCAAGCACAAGCGCAGGGGAAGCCCAGTAGAACATTGTGGCTTTGAGGACACATGCCCGAGTCAAAGTACTACTGCTTACATCTGTTTACCAAATGGAGGCAAAGGTGGTACAAGCTGGAGGCATGTCGACATGTGACGCACCGAACTCTGAAAGACCTGAAAGACAGAGCCCATTGTCCATGTGATCCATGTGGCTGGAGCAGCACTGAGGTCAACACCAGAGCTGATGACTGAGAAGCGCGCTATTGGGAGAGAACTGCAGGGATTGGGACATCAAGCTGGGGGGGGGTTGTAGCTTTTTCGGCCGAGCTTGAAATGACAGTATCGCCAAACCAAAGCTACGGTACGACAGTATCCCTGTATCACCGTCATTCACAAGTTGACATTAATCAGGATCCCCTACTGAGATGTTGATATGTTGTTCATTGTTGTTCTGAATATGTTTCCTAATGCAGGGTGGTGATCACCTATAGAAGCTGTGTGGTGGTCACCTCAAAGATTGACCCCGTCGACGGGTGACGCAGAATGCTCCGGGTCCTTAGGTCGAGAATGCTCCGGAGAAACGATGAATGAACCGAAGTAGGAACCGGAACGCCGCCGCATCCCTCGAGGTGACGGGTTGTTTTGGTACCCACGGTGTCCCACGGTGTCCTCGGTGTGATCACAGGAGTAAGTCTTTGGGCCTGTATCCGTTTCCTCCAGCAGGCCTCCTGCACGTGCTGTGGGCGAGGCCGGCTGGGCGTCACAATGCAGAAAATAGACGAACATTGCTAATTGGTTGAATTCAGGGATGTGACTGAACAAAAGCATGTCTGGACATTGACATGGACACTGCAAGACTCTGCCCGCCACTCTACAGGCACGGTCTTCAGTTGAAAACCTTCAGCGGCGGCGCTGGAGACGCCCCTCCAATCCATCTTCCCAGACCCTAGACACAAAGGCCCCTTTGGACGTGTTTAGTAAAAAAGCACCTTTTATTCCCTAGTAGCTTCTTGCTCCTAGTAAGCCCAGGAGCCCCTAGTAGCGTCCTTGCTCCTAGTAGCGTCCTTGTTGTTTGCATATTTTTTATTTGTTGGGACATTTGCCAGTAGTCATTAAGCAATCGGCTTTCAAATGCGAGATGTGGACGCGCAGGGACGACTTTGCACCCTGGTTCTAAGGTGCTACCTAGCCGGCCTCCGGGTGTACCTGGTACTGCACATCATGATGGCCGCATCCCTGGAACTGGGTGAGAGAGTGTGAAACACGTGAGAATAATGGATCGATACGGATGTGATGGACATTGCAGCCAGGATCCTCAGATCCTCCATGCAAGACAGAGAGAGTTGAAGTTTCAAGTTTCAAGCACTCGTTTGGAGAGAGCCTGTCATTGCGTATGTCGTATTTTGCAGGGGTGGCAGGGACAGCGCTGTTCACCATGTTCCCTCAAGATCAGAGGACGTGTCATGCTTTCCACACTGTATTTCCTATAGTTGACATGGGATGGGCTGTAGCCAAGGCAACCAGCTTACGCCGGCCGCCTTCAGGCTTTCGTCCGTGCGTTCTCCTTCAGTCCAAAGCAACGCCCAGAACCGCCCTCTTGAGCATCACAGTGCCGTTTCTCATGTTTTCTTCACGTCTTGTCTTGGCACAGGTTGCAGGAAAAGCTGAGTTATCTTGCTGAAGAGGCGTGGTGCCGGCACAGCCTCGTTGTCGGGCGTGATGCCTCATGTCGATGCCAGGGAACCATCTCCCTTTGAGTCCATGGCACAAAGGCGAGACGTGGGTTTTTGGACAATACGAGTGGACACCGTTGCCATTGTTTTTGATCTTTCAGGCATGGTTTCAGGTCCAAAACATGTATGAGTTAAACATAGTTAAACAAACACCGTAGGTGTATGGGTAGCAGTCCTTTTGTTTGCACTTGTCTGGGTCGAATGCTTGTTTGCCTCATCGTTTGACTGGCATGGGCCTCGTGAAAGATATTTTGTTGCAAACAGATTGAGAGGACTCACCCTCCACGATTTTGTGCATCGGGCAGGTGGCCAGTGACACCCAGCAACTTGCTTTGAGCTTTCAGGAGGGGGACATTGAGAAGCTTCAGCGGACAAAAAACAGAATCGACCCGTGATGTTAAAGAGTACGTGTTCATGTGCTGCTAGCAGGATGAAGGAGACTTCTCAACCAGGATTCCGTAGTTGGATGCTCTCAATGTTGTAAATTGCGAGAAAAAGGGCGCTGCCGCTGCGGCTTCAGTCGCGCATACAGTCGGCTCTTGGGGAACTGCAACGCAAGTCATAAGACTCTACCGCCAATTTTGCCGCCAACATGTATATAAGATATAATTAGGCAACCTGCGACAACCTATAGCAACCTTCGCATCGCTGGTGTATGTCCAACTTGAAGCTGCGGACTGCGACTTAAGTTGTCGGAATTGTTTTTGCATTCAACTCTTAGTTCACAACTCAACAGGACCATTGCGTCTTGCAACCCGGCTATTCCATGTTTTGTTCACCACGAGATTGCACTTCCGCACTTGCCTTGCTTTGTCCCCACGCTTCCATTGTTTTGCCCCATTTGCACTGCAGAATGAGCTCCTCCAATCGCAGCATGCCGAGCAGCTTGTCATCCTGCCGACCGACTTGTCATCCTGCTCCCCTTGGCCCATGCTGCATGAACCGCTGAGAGAGAAAGCCAATGGCTTGGGCCAAAAATGGTCAAAATTAGACAGCTTAACGGACACGAGTTATCTAGGATTCCAGACACTTGTTCCTGACTCAAGATGTCTTGTGTTAATGTTTCTTCGCCTTGCAGCTATCTGCTCGTCACAGCGATTTTTACAGTTGCTTGCTGTACTGGTTACGGTTACACATGCTTTCGAACATCACAGGCTGGTTCCCATCCAACTCTGCTGTTTGCATGTGGGTGGCGATCAGGTGCCAACACTGCAAGCTGATTTGAGTGTCCTTCCATGAGGCAATTCAATGTGTTGTTTGCATTCTCCTGGCAGTTCCATTCAAAAGATTTTTCATGACTCATGTCCTCCTGTCTCCCAAAGTCTCTCCCTCATGGGCACTCAGCAGAAGTGGACATGTTCAGCCTTTCGCGTGCTTGAGCCTGTTCAGTGTGGTGTTCAGCAACCGAGTCCAGGTTGTTGCAGAAGAAGGCGTATCTCATGCGACTGCTGGTCACATCATGAGGACAAGTGCTTCTGGTCGCAATCTCTGAAAGCTGCGTGCTGAAAGCGGGTGGACTAAAAGCAGCCTTGCGGACTGAAATTGAAAGCTCTCAACAGAACGACAGCATAGAGCAACCCTATCTCAAAGCATAAGACTTTGGGAATTTGATAGAATATGATAGAATGATAGTATTTAATAATATTTAATACCCATTGTTTCCTGGTTGTAAGATGTTGTAAGCCTGAACCCAGGGGCTGGAACATGCTGAGCCCATGCATACAAGTCAAAGGCGGCAAGAGCGCAAAAAGCTTTGCAATAACGGTTTGGAAAGTGGACACCAAAACGATTCAAGCTGTGGCTGCGGAACATCATGGGGCAGCCGCATGATAGGCCGATTCGAGATTCATGATGTGCGTCTTATCTGATGGAACCTTTTGCCCGAGCAGAAGAAATAATCACCAACATCATCCGTCATCGAAGTTGGGGGATGACTCTCCCAAATGGGCGGGTCGTTCGTCTTCGAAGCCTTCCGCTGTGCGGGTCACGCAAACCAAAGCTGCGAACGAGGTGGTTCTGCGCGGTTCGAGACGAAGCCCGGGCGCAGGGCTCCAAATAACATCCGTTGACGAGCAGTTTTAGATCTTTTTAGTATAACATGAACACTTTCTAGACAACCTCCCGTTTGCAACGGCACGTGAGCTGCGCATTTGTCGACATGTCTCCAGTTGCCTAGTTTGCCTGGGTAGGCCTGCTAGGCTCCATGGCCAGGGCTCTTACCCTGGCCCTTGCGTCCCATGATGTGCTTGCTGTCCATCGTGCCCGCAGTGCCCGCCCCGTTTTCGCTCGAACCTTCCGCGTTCGGACACTCTGTCCGATGGCCACTCTGATGGCGGGTGGTTTCCTGCGGCCTTTCACTGTCAGCTCCCACTGGCTTGCAACAGGCAGACAATGGCAGGCATAGATTTTGATGATTTTGGGATAGAAAAAGCGGCGTCAAGCGAATCCATGTTCGCGGTGCCACCATCGAAGCATTAAGTTACATACGCGCAAGACACGGCAACGGGCCTTGCGAAGATTTGACAACTTCAAAGATCGAGACTGGCCCCTCAGTCATCTAACCTACTCCTTCACCCTGCGGAGCCCCCAAACTTGACAGTTGCCCCCCCTACCGTACCTACCCAAAACTACTCCGTTTCGTTTTCCTCGTTGCCAATGATCGTGCTTGCCGCCTTTGAAGTCTTCCAAGTGGCAGGTCAAGTGGATTTCCCGTTGGCTCTGTCGGCGTTTTCCTCGTGCACTGCTTTCCTCGTCCCGGTCGCTATGCAGGTGAACATGTTCCAAACCAAAAGACAAAGAGATGACGAAACGCGGGGTCAACCCTTCCTGTCTGGGATTTGGGTGCCAGGCCCCAACCCCGAAGACGTCTTGGGTCTCAACCCCTTTTTGGGGCTTGCCCAATACAAACCCGAAAAAAAGACTACCATGGTTCACGGATAACTGATTAGGCTTCGGAGTGCACATCGGAACGGATTGAACAAAAATTCGGATTGCTCGGATTGCGGATTGTGATTAGGGTGTGGCAGGCTTGGAACAGTGTAGGACAACTTAGTGTTGTGAAAATTTGTGCGAAAAAAAATGGTTTGTAACATTTGTATCACCATCAAAATGTCTTGGCGCACAAAGGGGTCAGTTGGGCGTCTCTGTGGACGACTCCGGGACGAGTCATGCCCGAGAGAGAGAGAGAGAGAGAGAACCTTGCAAAACACCACACTCTCCGCGAAAACAAACAAGTCGGCAACGCGCCGCAAATCATTGCGCCAACAATGGCCTTCCCATTCCTGCTCAGCTGGCTGGCCTCGATTCGCTGGCTGGGATTCAGTTTTTTTTGAGGTCATTGTTCCGAGCAGGTATGGACAGCTGTGGGCCGTGCCCTCGGTGGGGTTGCAACCCCCACCCTGCTGGCAATGTTGCCAGTACGCCATACTTTGCTACCCGATCGTAGCATTCCACCAGGCAGGCGGAGCTGACCACCTTCAAAGGAGGTTCTGCAGACGTTGCAGCTAGGTGAGCAGGATTGCCCTGAACACTCGCCAGCATGCCTGCCATGCCTCGAAACTTGAAGGACCTGGCGCATCCAGTGCCTTGAAAGCGCTGTATTGCAGCAGCAGCCATGACCTCGTTTTCAACTGCTTCTGCATGGTCCGCCCACATGGCCCTCGCCATGTCGAAGGATCCTGTCTCTCGATGCGGCCGCTTGTTTTGCGGCTGGCTTTGTCGCTCGGCTCTGCACCTGTCTCTTCGGATTTTTGGAGGGACATGAAACTTACCTCGGAGTCCGTGGGCTGGGCTTGGACCGTCCCAGACAAAATTGCGCCAGTACAATGGGGACACGGGAGGTCAGGAAGAACCCCCCAGAAGTCTCAAACTGTCGGATTGTTCGCTTACCAATAGGATCCAATACAGTATAATACAGCTGGGCTTAGACCGTCATGAGACAGGTAATGTATCCTAACACACAGCTCACATGTGTTATGTTTGTCACGCTTTGGTACTTTTTTGTGTTTGATCATTGCATGTTTTGTATATCCCCGCGCATGGTCATGTCAGAGGCGAAGCTGACCTCAGTGAGGAATTTTCAATTAATGGGGGCGTGCGACACGGGCATGTTTTCTCAGTCCTGGGCTTTTCACTGGAGTATTGCAATGGGCCATGGGCAACGGGCGTTCCAAAGTGGAAAGTGAAGGCTTAGGCATTGACATGCATGATGGTTTGCCACGATTGCTGGATTTGAGGTTCGCTGGTGACATTTTTATACTCGCAGGTTCAAAGTCAAAGTATCCCCGCGCATGGCAATTGTAGGGGGCCAACAACTTGTGGTGGTGCCATCGGTCACACGAACGTGTTTTTTTCCACCGATGACTACAAGCAAGGCATCGCAGACGTGTGGGGTGTTGTTGGAAGACTGGAATGAAGAGGCTTTGTTCTTTGGGAAAACAAACTCAGGCAGTGCAGATACGGCTTCGTTGTGGGATGAGGTGGTTGGGCCATGGTCTCGCAGGTTTATTGCTTGAACATGCTTGAACTATGTTCCTTGAACTATGCATGTTCAAGGCGGATCCCAAGTTTCCCTGCATGTTTTTTCTTGGGGGGGGGTTGTCCCAGGGTTGGTGCGAGGTGACGATGGCGATAGATCCCTGGACATGTTCTTAGGGTTGAACTCAGGTCCTGGTGTGTCCTGCCTGGTCCATGGCTGGCTTGCATTTGTCGGTGTGCCTGGGATCAACTCCCAATGACTCCCCCAAGGAATCGAATACGACAGACCTGGACCACTTCACTGGAATGATCTACTGTCCATTGAGGGAACCCATTGCTCATCGTCACTGTGCGCACCACTGGCGCGGGCTACCGTGAACTAGCGCCATTTCATCCTCAGGCCAACCAAGTGCCTTTGAGCAGCCATCACCGCTGGAGGAGGTCCTGCCACTTCACCAGGTCTAGCTAAAACAAACCGCCACGGGCGCGTCACCGACGGGATTAGGAACTGTGTTGTTCGTTGGCAAACAACCCACTCACTTGATAGCACATGTTCTGACTGACCAAGACTGTGCTGATTTGGGTGGGCGGGCAATTGTTTCGGCGCGCTTTGGGGCCGGCACTTCCAAGGATTGTGAAAGGAGTGCTCAACGACATGGCGGTCCAGAGTGAGCGAGGCCCCAAAAAGTTGGACCACGCCAAGCAAGAGTCCGACTGCTGCAGCTGCGTGAGGACAACGTAGGCAGGTGTTTGGTTGGAAGTCGCGTGGGGTAGCGATTGGGCATGTCAGAGACTTTGGGGTGAGATCCGCGGTGGTATGTCCGAACTGGCGAACACAGTTCAATTACGCATCAAACAAGCAACCCTTGAAGGTCAGCATTCCCTGCAGCCACTGTAGGCCATGGTTGACTTGACGAACGAGTTTCACGCCCTTCCGCCTGCGGGTTTGCCCTCTCTCGGGCCTTTCCACCGAGCTCGCGACATTGCCACTACCGCCCAGCGCTGACGTGCCCAGAGCCTTGAAAGCGGGATGCGGCGCGATGATGCCCAGCGAACCTTCCAGTGAGGGCAACAGTTCACCAGTCCGAGTACACGGAAACGGTGTATGCAAGACAGGCGGAAGAACGCACTGAGGCAGACTTGGGCGAAGATCTCGGCTGGACGGGGTATCCCAGATCCATGAGGTGGCAGCGGCTTTCAAGGCGGTGGGCTGCCGAGCGCAACTGCATACTTGTTCACCCAACTACGGGTGTCATCCATGAGCGATGCAACGGGAGCAGTGACCAGAGCCCTGGGCCCCGCAGATTCCGCTGTCATGGTCGCCAGGGACGAAAAACATATCTCATGGCCCATTGCTAGGTATGAGGCATGGGTGTTCGCCAACCATGCGAGATTCGAGAGCACCAAGCAAATCAGGGAGATCCAATGGACCGAGGAATTAGGCGGACGCGTGCTTGTGTTTGCACCACTTCGCGTGAAGAGAGCGCAACATGCCTTTTCTGTGTGACCTTCCGGTTGCTTCGTAGTCGAGACACTTGCTTGAATGCACAGGCGGGCTCGGCACAGGCAGAGGGGTTGCCACCAGTCGGACACTCGGACACCATGAGGTCGCCTGCATTGGTTGTCGGGTGGCAGTGATCGAGCAAGTGCGACGCAGGGGTCCTCAACTTGCCAGAAGTTTCCTTCGCACGTTGCCGGGAAAACACCCAAAAGCGGCATTGGAGGCAAGCAACGTCCCAAACCGTGAGCTTTGCACACCTCGCAGCAAGTGCAAGGACAAGCTGCCGGCATGGGTTCGAGATAGTGCTTGAGACCAGGCAAGGGCACACAAACAGGCAGCACTATGGGTATGAAATGAACGTGTTTGCATCCCTGAAGCTGTAGCCGGGCTCGCTGAACTCGACCTGAGTGATGTGTGTCATCATGTTGTCGAGGACCAGATAGAAAACTATATTCGCAGACGCCCAGTTTGCAGAGGGACGGGTGTTGATGCAGGGCACATGACATGCGCCCTAGGGCCGCATCCAGCTTGCACACAGCGTAGTATTGCGCAGCAGTTGGGCGTACCATGAGAGTTAAAAGTGAGTTGTGTACAGTTTACATGTCAATTAATGAATTAGGGTGGTCGGAGGGGTTTTGTGACTCAACGGCTGTGACATGCTGTAACAGTTTTCGTGGAACGAACTTGTTTGTGAAATGAAAACTGGAAGGAGTACATGTCACATAGGGTGGTCATTTAGTTGTGAATGTGATTGGACAACATATGGACTCAAGAGGCCCACAGGTGAAGATACATCACCGCGTGCTATGTATTTTGAGTTCTCCCCACCCACCCCCGAAGCAATCATTCCTGTTTCGCCCCCTTGGACGAAGTATTTTAATTAGCATCAGGGAAAAAACATGTTTGCCTGACTGATCTGTGTCGTCATGTTTTCGGACCACATGGAACACGACATTCGCAGTTTGTTGGCCCAGTTTGCAGAGGCCCTTCGGAGCTCTTCACAGGGCAGTCGATATTTCGACGGGTGTCGATGCAGGGCAGTAGATTGCCACATGACATGCACCCTGGTGCCGCGCCCCGCTTGCAGCAAAACATGCGTAGTAGTTGAGCGTGGCATGAGTTGTATAAAAGAAAACATGAAGCGTATCAGGGTGGTAGGAGGGGCTTTGTGACTAAACGGCTGTAATTGTAACAGTTTTTAATTTTTTTTGGTGTGTGTGTGTGTCAGATCTCAGCCTGACTGATCCCAACCGATGTACTCTAGTAGGGGGACCCGCCAGGCGTGGCTGGACATTCACTCTAGTACCGAGAGCCACCCTGACATTCTGCGAGAAAAAAGGTGTAGACAGAAAAAACAACACCCGGGCCAACGCCAGCCCCTTCAACATCGTTTAAATGCGTGCTTGTTTGGAAAAATGGACTAGTTAACGTGAAAGACCACAGAGCATGCCAGGAGTGGACCAGAGACTGACGACGTCTCAAGCAAACGGCAGCTGCAAATCCACAGTTCACTATTGTAGTTTAGGCAGTGGCGAACATAAATTTAGGAACCTTTGTTTGGGGCCGATCCTTCTCGCGCGCTTCGTGGTGCCCATAATTGCATTTATTGCTATCATGTTATAATGTTCCGGGGCAGAATGCAAAACTTAAAGATAGCGGTAGCCAAGGCGACAGGGCACGCGTAGTTAAAAGGCGCCCTGTGACCGAGAGGAACGCCTTTTTAACGTGCCAGTGCTCCTACCCTGACCCTTTTTAACGTGTTGCATTGAAAACAAATGAAAACCGTGTTTTTTTTCGCGACCGACCTGGTGTAGATGCAGAATGGACACTGCGCAACGAGCGTTCACAATCCGCTTACAAAAATAATGGCACTGCGGCAATACACCCGTATCGACAAATATATTTTTGCACGTTGTTTTGGTCAACCTATTTTGAACTCACGGCCAACAACCAAAAATTATGTGGATACACCGATGAACCCGAAAAAAACTCTGATCGTGAAGGGACCTTCCACAGGACCATATTCCACCACCGACAACATGTGCAGACCCGCGTCCGAAGAGCTGAGCCTGCCACCAGACGCTGAAGACGCCCCACGGCTTCATGGACTGAGCCATACACCCATGAACCCAGAAACATTTTTAGACAAATGAAATATCCAATGTGGATTGGACCAGTGAAGAATTCCAATGAAGAATGGGAGTTTTGGGCTGTCATTGCGGCAGTGATTTTTTGTGACCTTCAAAAACTTCAAAACCTACATGGAGTTGGCGATCGCCAAGAGAGTCGGAATTCGGAGAGGAAAACAACTTGAAGAGAAATTTGAACACGTCAAGACTATGCCAGAAGGAATCACAGTGGAGGACTCTTTGTAGAGAGAAAAACACAAGGTCGACAGGCTATTCTTAACTACAATATCTTGAGTGAGATCAATGCAGGAAACCACCCAGCCAGAAGGAGTTTTGAAGCTACGCAGGCCACACCAGGATGGTATAAAGCACACAGGGTGATGCTAGGGGCAGCCCATGAAGGAGCAAATCCATCAGATGGTTTTGAACGAAGCATTCAAGAAAGGAAACAGAGAGAATCAATGGGACCAGAGTACAAAAAATGCAAACTGCACAGATGTGTGGTAGGTTCCACGCCAAAATTGAGGACATGAAGGAACAAGAATGGAACCTACTAGGACTAGGAGGCCAGGATGCTGCAGATAGATGTGGGCCAGAACGAAGAAAATATGACGAACTGCTTGGAATAACATAATACAGAAGGCAACCCGCATGTTGAGTCAACACAAGCACGCTTCAGGAACCCAGTTCCTGTAATTGGAAGACGTGAAAAGACTTGCAGAAGATGGAATGGAATGAGAGTGGCAAAGTGAGCTCAAAGAGGCATTTTAATAGAATTTCACATCGCCAAGAAGGAATGCGAACCATTTTCCATAGGAATCAGTGTGCAGGAACATAGCCTTACTAGCATCATAGAAAGAACAGTTTACTGGTACACAACGCGCATGCGAGTTCATTGCAACCCTTCTGCAAGACAAGTGAAGTGCGTAGCAAATGTTTGCTCGTGTTTGAACACTGGCAGTTGCAATTAATAAGGGCTGCCTCAAAATCCGGGATTTCAGTTGATCCTGTAGCTGCTTCAATGTACTGATCGGGTTCCTTCCTGCGACCTCCCTTAGAACTTAGTTTCATTTTGATCACTCTGCATCCCCCAATGTGTTACATGCTGCTCAGCAAAGCCAAGGGCGGCGTGGTGCGTGCAGAGAACACGCGCAGTTGTACATTCACTGTGGTTCCGGCATGCTCAAGTTATTTACAGCAGGTCACTAAAGACAAACAGAAAAGGGAGACCAATGGGCCAATGGGACTGTGACTAGAACATTGAGCCAATTCTTTTGTGAAACTCGAGGGTTCACGGAAACCGTTTGAGTTTTCACCAATGCCACCACGCAGACACGTGAAATATGCAGTGGGTCTCCATGTTTATCCCTTTCCGGAACTTCCCTGAAGGGCAGAAGGTGTGGGTCGTTTTCGGCGCTGTAGCACCAGAAAGTCGCAACTCCCAGGACACCAACAAAATGTTCAATACGTTTCCTTGAGTAAAGATGACATCACAACATTTGTCGCCCAACGCGCGTGTGATGGCTGTCCTTGCCTCATTCGGCCGAAACATGCCGAAACAAGTTTCGAGGACGTTGATGGTGGAAGTGTATTAACCGTAAGGGGTCTCTTTCTGTGGTGGCGACCCTTGCAGAAACTATATGCCGCCTCAATGCCGAGGCATCGGGTCATCACGCACACATGAATGGATCGGGACCAGTGAGACAAGCTTCGCTGGCTAAATCGCTTCCTCCAGGCAGGCAGATGTGTGTGACGGGCCAATCATTTTAGTTCGGCAGCACTGCACTTCACGCTGGGTGGGGCAAGCCACTTGAAGAGGTAAATGGGCCCGTGATGTTGATTAGACCCTGTCGGAAAATTGGATCTGCCCGTAAGAGCCAAACATATTCATATTACACATATGTTATGATAATGTACTGCAGCTGTTGAAGACAACAGATGTAGCTTCCGTGGACGTGATGAGGCGATCACGACCATACAAAAACATTGCAAGACTAACATGCACGTGTAGAATCACCGTTGTGCTAAAATACTTCCAGTTTCATTTCTCGTGGCTTGGCCATGGTGAAATCAGCCAAAGAAACCAAGAAGAAAGCTGACGCCAAAGCTTCTCCGAAGCTGAAGCCCAAGGCCTCGCCGAAGGTTGCACCAAAGGCATCGCCCAAGCTTGCACCGAAAACATCACCCAAGGAGGCTCCCAAAACGAAGAAGCGAAAGCAGGAGACAGCTGAGGCTGACAATGAGATAGAAACCAAGAAAGAGAGAAACGAAAACAAAAAAATTAAGAAGTCTGAAGGGAGCCTTGGCGTATGCGCAGTATCTGATATCAAAGAAATATCAGATGCCAGCCAAAAGGCGTTGGCTGGCAAGAGCATCACCACGCTCCTTGGCTTGGCCTGATCCCGGTAACCTTTTTTCATGATGTATGTTGATTCCTCCTACCGTTTGATTGTGCAACAAGCACGGGTGAACATTTGGCATAGTGTTGACCAAGGTTGTTCGAGATCCAACAGAAGGCTTTCCAGCCATGCTTCAGCGGCAAGGACGTTGTTGGTCGAGCCAAGCCCTTTGGCCCACTTTGTTGAAACAAATCCCATTGACAAAAGCTGGGATCACTGACCTGGATTGATAGACAGGATGTGTGGTAGAGCATGTTGTGGTACGGTATAGCCACACTGTGATATGGTTAGTCATATTTGTATGTGTACGTGTTGCTTTGTTATGCTTTGTTTAGGTTTATGATTTTCTTTGTTTGTTTGTTTGCTTGCATGTGTGTATCTTCGTTCGGCAACAAAGAATAACACAGACGCTTTTCAGGTTAGTGCATAGCAATTGTTGTGTAAGGACTGGCTGTGGAAAGACCTTAGCCTTTGTGCTGCCAGTGGTGGAGCGTATCAGAGCAAACAAGTTCATCAAGCAATTCCGCAAGAAGGCTGGTTATCCTCAATCATGCCGGGTTCAACTGGTGCATGTTTTGCTTGATGCCTCGCCAAGATCATCTTGTCAGATGTGTCATATGCCGCTTTACATCGTTTTACCACACGTCAGAAGGACGGGAAATCATTATTGCCCACCAGGTGTAGAACCAACACTCGAGAAAGATGTCAAACAACACTCTGACACTGGTTTTCAGTTAACGCAATTGTCACGTTGGGAAGGAAGGTGAGAGAACGGAAAGGTGCATGGGTCCGATCACTTGAATAGTTTAACATTGTTGTCACAAGGCGGCAGCAATCAAACCGGCGGCGCAGCTGCTGGGGACGAGTAGGTTTGGGGGTGGTAGCATGAAGAACCATGGAATCAAACAAAGCCAATTAGACAGCGTGGTCAAAAGTTCAGCAGGTACGCAGGGCTGATCAGGCCCTGCTTCCCACTCCCGCCCACAGCTTCGTTGCGTGTGGTAGGGCGGGAGTGCCACACGCCCCTGCCTGATTGGAGTGGTCGAAGGAAACCCTTTGTCCAGGGGTGGACACACACAAGTTGCCGGCTTCGGCGCTTTTTCAAGACACCCCCTACCGTTGAACCAGTGGACGAAAACCTTTTTCCAGGGGTGGACACACACACAGAGCCGTTTTCGGCGCGGTCAAAGTAGTAGTAAGGCCAGGGGCCTCCAGTAGCGTCCAAACTCCCAGGGGAACATTTGCACAAAAAGCGCCAAATTGTTGGCGCAACGAAGAACTAGTAGACACCTAAAAAGCCTTAGAAAGACGGAAAAAGCAACGAAACAAGAGCAGACTAAGAGGGCAAGAAAGAAAAGTAGGGTAGTTACGAGGCCCACTTAGTTAAACGAAAGTAGAAGGCGAGCGGGACATTCGTCTTAAACCGCCCGGGTAGCTAGCAATAGCTAGGAGAAACAGAAGGAAAGGCACCAACACACAAGTGTGTTGAGTGCGATTTCCTTCTGTTTCCCGAGTAGCGGGTGGGATAGCAACGGAGGCCTGGGGTAGGGAGGGGGGGGGGTGAAAGAGTGACTAGGGCGTACACGGTAGAGGTGCAGACCGCTAGTGTCTTTTATGCGCAGAGTCTTATCCTCTTGCTCTTTGAGCCTTGAAGCAGTCAAGCATGGACACACTATATCGGCTGTTGGAGTGGAACACTGTACAGGTAGGCTCTACTTTTCAGCAGGCACAAGATTCATGTCCACTCCTAGCTGATTGCGTATGTCGCATACTCTTTTTCTACTGCAAGGCTAAAACAGTCCAGCTAGCTCTGACAACTTAAAAGAAAACTACGGTGCCATGTACTTACCTAATCCAGTGTGTTTCACACTTCGGAGAAGGTAATCTCATAGCTACTAAATACAGTGAGGGAGCAATAGCTGACTCACCTCAAGTACAAAATCAAAGCGATAATGTACCTCGGCTGGAGACTGTACTTTTCGCAGGCGGAGATACCATGTACCGGCGCTCACTAGCTCTTTAGGGCCTGAGCTAAATCAAACTCAAAAGGGAAAGCGGCTTTTTCTCTACAGAGACCTATAAAAGAATCAAACGACACTCGCGTAACAAAGAACTAAAAATTCAAGACCGCACAAATTGCAATGAATTAAGATGCCTTGCAAAATGCAAGGAGCGTACGGTCCGAGGAATAATCTTCTCGTGACGTGGTCTCGACCGCTTTCATTCACAGACAAAATAAAACTGCATCAAAAGGACTCTCTTTCACATTCACATCAAAAACGCAAGAAGGAGATACCGGCAAATGTATGTACGAAAAAATCTTGCACTACAATTGCAAATCATGAAATGACTTAATCATCAACCATGACTGGTTGTCCATTAGAGGTCACTTCATAAGAGCGGTGGTGATAGATATCATCAGTTATGTAAAACTGTCCATACCTATCTACATGCTAAAGCGTATAAACCTGGAATGCAGGAGTATCTTCTTTGATAAAAAGTTTCTCCTCATTGCAAACCAGAATCTATTAAAACTTCAGCCTGTCAACTTAAAGTCAAGCCTGGAAGCAAAGTATCAACTGTAACCAGAAGTATCTTCACTTCCTAGCCATCATTTAAATTTCAGCCTTCGCTCAGGAATTATGCCGCTGCAAACGATGAAGCTGCTTGATCAGAAGTTGGCGGCCTTCCTTTCCTTTTATTCTCTTTCTGTCTCTCCTTCCTCCGCAGTTTCGCCTCATGAAGCGTTGCTCCCATGCGATACTGTCTTCTGTCTCCAGATGAAAAGGAAGCTGGTCTGAGTGAAATAAACATTGGACCATGACTGTCCTCATCAGTGGGCCTTGAGCACATAACCTCTGTGTCAATCATAGCAAAGTTCTCTGAAAAATTACAGATGAACTCCTTCGTGCTCACTGTGGAATTTTCATATTCCTCTTCACTCATTGAATGACCCCATTCAACAATGGTAGACAAACATGTATCGCCAAGCTGTGATCCTTGGTATTCTTCTTTTTCAACAGTAGAATATTCTTCCCAGAGTTTATCAAAGTAAACTTCACACTTCTTGAGGACCTGTGAAGTTGAACTGTAAAATGTTCTGGGAATAGGTGCTTTGATACCAGGATCTGCTTTTACACGAGCTTCTGAAAACCTGCGGATCCAATGCTGCATGGTGCTGTAATAGTAGTTAGCCATTGGCTGCCTTTTGTACCCAGACATTCTGTAGGCCAAACTATTTGCATCACCAGAAATGATGTCCACCTCATAGACAAAACACTCGTAAAGCATCAGTGCTGTCTGTTCTCCTGTCAGTAGGTGGGCATCCACAGCACGGTGTGTATCAACATGATAATTACAGACTCTGACGGTATGCATGTTCGCTCGAGTAAGTGGAACACGCTTGTCCTCATGACCATAGTCATCAAATTCAAAGTCTGCATCCTTGAAATCTTGACGAGGCCTTGTTTCTCCAAAGCAAATCTCGTAGATAGCCCAAGTTACATCACGCTGTTCACAGTGACCAAGTTCCTGATCATGTCCAGCAATGATCTTGACATATCCACCTGGTGCCAATCTAGCCATCGCTGCAAGATTCTCCCAATCATTGAAACAAACTGTCCAATTCTTTTGCTCAATAAATTCCTTGGCAGGAACAAGAAGATGAGCTTCCTGGAGAATCACGACATGTGCACGTAAAAAGAAGAGCATGTTGAAGAAAAGGTTGTTCTCAAATTGCTCATTCTGAAGTGACATGGCGCTCTGTTTGCGTGGCCTCATTGCACTATCAAGTCCTTGGAGAAACCTTGGTGTGGTGTACTTCTGACCACGAACCATGTTGCCATAGTTCCAGGATAAAAATGTCAAGGACTCTGAGCTGGCCAATAAATTAGTTCCATATGGTTCTTCTATTCTTCCTTTGAGGAACCTTCTGCACAGCTCTTCATAGAAGGTGACAAAGTCCCAACTGGGTCCCTTGGGACCATATGATTCCAGTTCCTTCTTCAGTTCCTTCTTCGTCTCCTCCAATTCTTCTCGAGCATGTTCTGCCCTTTCAAGGGCCTTTGGATCGACCTGATACTTGCCATCCAAATAAATGATGCGATCATCATTGATGAAGAATCTCTTCAAATCATGCTCTGGTTCATGTTCATAACAATCAGGTGGAGGTACTGGACAGACATTACGAATGGATCGAACAAAATCATTCTCGTTGATCCTTGACTGATAATGAGGATGGGAAATCTCACCTTTTCTGAAACAAACATGATTCAGCAATCTTGCGTGAGTTTCCCTGAAGCATAGTTGATAAAGGCCAATACCTGGATCTCCTGTA